TTTGGTGTGGTTCGGCTACCGGGGGCTTCTCCGGGTTGTCTTGTTCCATCATTTTGTGTACTTTGTCATTTTGTTGACTGATACGTTTGGCCAATTTTCTTTATGCACTCGTTTACGGTTCAGATAATCCTCTCCGACTTAGATTATGACGTTTATCATCCTCGCTTTGTCTCGAGCTATGTGTGGACACCTACAGGTATTTTTAGATGCCTACAGATACCCTCTCTAAAGTATTTCAGACTCATTCTTTTATAGAGGAGTCCGGGATACTTTGGATAAGATAGGTCTTGTTCAATTTCTTCAGTATTTTGTCGAGGAGATCGGGTAGAAGGACCTGTGAATGGCTTTAACTCATGACCTCTTCAGCTTTCAATCTACTTAGTATTTTGTCGAATAGATGAAGTACTTCCGATGCTATGTTTGTCGTCTGGCTGTTGTCGCAATCTTGAACTGAAGTTGGTGTATAAGCATTTGAACTTAGCTCTTGTTATTGAGTTGACGTTGAACTGACCATCCTCGTCGGGAATTCACATCTGAATCACAATTAAACTTCTTGGAATCATCCTTTAGTCTGAAATTTTTCCTTAGCCTTATTTTGGTGAAATTATCGATGCGTTGACCGGCTAACCGGCATCGACCTTTACTTTAACGCGTTGACCGTCATTAACATAGTTTATACTCATACTTTTGCTAGAGTCTACATAGTTTAAGCTCTTAAGGCGTTGAAGAGTGGCGGTCCCAAATGTCGGGCTACAGGACCAACTATTAAAGTTGTTTCGTTTGCAGGTATGGATCTTATCCAGAGGTTGTTGGATGCTCAAGTCACGAGACCAACTAAAAAAGCTGGTGCGTCAATGACTCTTACGTTTATAGGATTTTTGGCAAACCCTCAGCCATCAACGGGTTTGATGAGCCTTTACCGACTACCATATGAGTCGGGCTAGCATGCAGATTGTTTAAGTCCGTTCTACATGTAACGTTGTGCTAAGAGAGTCAACTCTCTTAGTGGTACTATATTAAATACGTAGACTTCGTCCTTCTTTAGGGAATAGACTACCCGACAACGTGTGTTAAACGTTGACTTATCCATACTTAGGCTTCAGGATAAAATTCTCCAGACTTGGATTCTGGTGTCTTCTTCACTCGGTAAAGACTAAACCGGCAACGCGTGTTAGACGTTGACTTATCCCTATTTAGGTTTCGGGATAAAATTCTCCTTGCGTGTAAGACACGGATTATGACGTTATTAATAACAGCCTGCCACAATATCGATTATGTGGGCTTTTGTTTTTTTTACGGTCAATGACTAACCAGCAACGTGTGTTAGACATTGACTTATCACTACTTAGGATTCGAGATAAAAGTCCTCAGACTTAGATTCTGGTATCTTTTTCATTCGGTGAAAGACTAAACCGGCAACGCATGTTAGGCGTTGACTTATCCCTACTTAGGCTTCGGGATAAAAGCCTCATACTTGGATTTTGGTGTCTTTTTCATTCGGTAAAAGACAAAATCGACAACGCGTGTTAGGCGTTGACTTATCCCTACTTAGGCTTCAGGATAAAATTCTCGAGCATGTAAGGTGCGGGTTTAGAGAGTTGAAAAAGTGATGTCTTCTCTTGGGGTGAAGACAAACCCGATACTGGAAAGGAAAAATTTTATATTCGATCTCCAGTCACAAATGAAACTCAAAATAGGATCTCTACTTCGAGAATCTGAAGAGTGAAACTAAGAATGAGATCTTCACTCTAAGAATAAAAAATATACGGATAATCCTAACTATCAAAAGGTTTGATTACCGAACTAAAGGTGAATTTCTCGTTTATCGAGAGTGAATTTTTAGGTTTGGTCCTAACTGTAGGAAGGTATGACCAAGTAGGAGTGTGATTCGACCATAACTGTAAGAAGGTTTGATCACTCAATTTAAAAGTGGATCTCTCGTTCATAGAAAGAATCGAGAGGGGATTTTGGCTTTGGCCCTCACTGTAGGAAGGTTTGACCGAGTGAGAGGTTTGAAATGATCCTTACTGTAGGAAGGTTTGATCATTCAATTTGAAAATGGACCTCTCATTCATAGAAGGAATCGAGAGAAGATTTTTGTTGTGGTCCTAATTGTAGGAAGGATTGACCAGGTATACAGTAGGAGTGAGAGTACAAATCACATTGGGAGTCTTGACTTGTATTGATCACTCAGTAGGGGTTCTTGGTGTCAAGTGATAAAGTCTTAACACAAAGAAGTTTGAAAATTGTCAAAGATTAGTAGAGTAAAATTCCAATCATTATATCTGGACTCTAACAATAGGAGTGTTGAGTGTACAGACACAATAAGAGTTTGAGTGGATTAAACCAAAAAGAATTTTAGTGGACCCACCGTCAATTAATTTGATCAGTGAGGGATTTTGTGGTGGAAGATTATGAATCATCAAACACCAGTGGGAGTGTTTTGTGAGGGAAGATTGATCCGACGAAGTGATCGAATCTCGTTTCAACAAAAGAGTGCTTAGAAGTTGGTAAAATTGATCCCGGCAATTGGATGCGTTTCACTCTTAGAAGCATTCAGAGTCCAAGTGGGAGTTTCTAATTCATCACTTTTTTTGTAGTGACTGGGTTATCCCTAAGAATACACCATATAATATTCTTCCGGGACCTTCCCGTTACATGAATTATTCACCCCCAGCTTTTCTTGTGAAACTGGGCCTAACATTGTACTCAGTTGCATGATCGAGTTATCCTTAAGAATATTATGTATAAAATTCTTTAGGAACTTTTCGTCAAAGGTAGGAAACAATTTAGACTCATATACCTATTAGAGTATTACAAAGAAGCAGTTTAACCTCTTATACTTATCAGAGGATTGAGAAGCAGTTTATACTCGTATACTCTTTGGAGTCTTAGGGATCAGTTTAACCTCATATACCGGTCGGAGGAGCGAGAAGCAGTTTATACTCGTATACTCTTTGGAGTATAGAAAGGAGCAATTTATACTCTTATACTTGTCGGAGTTTCAGGGAGAAGTTTAACCTCATATACTGATCAGAGGAGCAAGAAACAGTTTATACTCGTATACTCTTTGGAGTACAGGAAGGAGTAGTTTATACTCTTATACTTGTCGGAATTAACCGATCTCATTCAGCTC